GGGGCCCACACTTCTGTTACTAAGCAAGGATTGTTAAGTGAGGTGTGTTCAAGTTTATGACTTTTTTTGTCACAGTTACACGAATCAACCCCAGTTGTTAAGTGAATCACATGGCTGTTAAGCAAATCTGGCTTCCCCCCATTGACTTCGCTTGTTGGAAGTCACCCAAGAGGGTCACAAAATGGAGATCATATGACCCCAGGATGCTGCAGCCATCCTACATACAATCCAAGTTGTCAAGTGCCCCGAATTTGATCACGTGACTGTGGGGATGCTGTGATGGTCATAAGTGTAGGGACTGGACGTTAAGTCACTTTTTGCAGCACCGCTGTTACTTGTAACGATTACTAAAGAAATGGTTGTACGTTGAGGACTGCTTGAATTAGTACTATCCAGTATGTACTTACTGCAGAAATTGGTGATTCCTGCTACCCTGTATTCCTGTAGGCGTTTGATTTCGGTTCGCAGCTCAAACTCCACTGTGTTCCCGTCAGAGTAATAGGAAGTGAAAACAAAAGCAATAAAGAACATGTGAAGTTGTGGCTCTCTTGTTTTTTGAAACAAATCCTTTAGATATAATGTACACAACAAAGATTGAAAAAGTTCATCAAAAAGCAAAATGCAGAAGCATGTGAAAAGTTAGCATGGATTTTTTTTTAAAAAAATGATAAAAAATATCTGGCTCTTTCCTTAAACACCATCATAATTTTTATTAAAGCTTGAATAAGAAGTTTGATCTGGAGTGGGCTGGATTAAAAGAGAATGAAGTCAAATCCCAGGGAGATCTGGTGGCCAAAGAGAGGAATGAGAACTCTTATCTCACCACCTTCACCACTGGAACACACTGCTGGTTCTGGAGATTTTTAAGATAACTTTATTGTCATTTTTTTTTACTGCGAACATACCGATCCACATTAAAAATGAAATTCTGTTGCCCTGCTCTCAAGAAAAAATGCATATCTACCTCAAACACATACATAACACACATATACGCATGCTACATACATAAATATGCCATGTGTGTCTCTGTGTGTGTTATACACACACACATACACACAAATCACTATCCGTTTTAAATATGTAGTGGAAAGACGACACTTGAGAGTTCAAGAGGAAACTGGAGAGAGTTTTATTTAAATAAATTTTATTTTATTTTATTTTTATTTATTAAATTTCTATGCTGACCACCACCTCTACAAGGTGACTCTTGGCGGCTTACAAATTATAGAGTCGGAAAAAATAATCAAAAGATTAAAACAAACCAACATTAAAATTCCATTAAAAACTGTGCTAACACTACACCTACAAGAGCCAAGAGACAGATGGGATGGGGGTGAGATCCTCTTACGGTGAGTGCCCTCCTCTGAGATGAGAGAGAAGAACTGGCCAAAGCCCATTAGAGAGCTTCTGTAGCTGGACGGGGAGGGGTGTGTGTGGACACATAATTTGAACCTGGGCCTCCCGTTCCTAATCTAGCACATTCTCCACTAGATCAGACTGAAACTTGGGTGGAGAAAAGGATTAGTCCAAAGTCACCAAGGGCTTCCGTGTTTTCAAATATCTACACAGCACCTCTAACACTGCACCGCACTGATTCTCAGGCTAAAAGAAATGGACTGGTCCAAAATTACTGCGGGGGTGGGTGGGTGTTGGAGCTGAAGATGGAATTGAAGTTGTTTTTAGTCCAGCAACTTTAACACTACACCGCCCTGACTCTCTGGATGCCTTAATGGAATCTGGTCTCCAACCGTGGCATCTTTACAACTTGTGGACTTCAACTCCCAGAATTCTTCAGCCAGCCATGCCACAAGGTTAGAGACCCCTGCTTCAGAGCAATGGTTCTCAGCCTTACCAATGTTTAAGGTATATGGACTTCAACTCCCAGAATTCCCTAGTCAGCATGCTGCAGTAGTCCAAAGTACTGGAAACCTAGTCCCTAAAACGGAACAAGGCAGTGTTTCTCAATTGAAGGAATTTTAAGGTGTGTGGACGTCAGCTCCCAGAATTCCCCTGCCAGCTAGTGTTTCAATTAGCGTCGTTTTCCAGTTCAATGAACAGAAAAGTGGCCTTTGTGAAGGATTTTCCAGTCAACTGTGGGATTGGCCCAACCCTGCAGTGATGGTGGAAATGCAGTAAAGCATAAAGTCTCTCATTTGAAGAGAAAATTCAGACTGAGGGTTTTGAGCTGTTCCGATCATTCCTCTGGAAAAAAACAGTTTCTACGTGTAAACCACTGACAAACTGAGTAAAACATGGACAGCTAAAAACCAGATTCTTGAAGAAGACTGGTAAAAATTCTAAAGGGGTTCTACAGTTTTGCAATATTAATCTACAGAAATGCACAACAAATCAGGGTTCTCGCTCGGTCATTTCCGGATCTGTAATTAAGATGAACTAACGAACTAACCTTGTGCAAAATGTTTCAAATTAATCTGAGAATGAGAAATTTTGAGTGAAGGACATTTCACTGGAAAAAGTCACTCTGAGATTTGCGTAAGGGAAAAAAGACCTCCAAATTAGTTCATATATTAAATATTATTGCCGTGGATAGAGTGTAAAATCTTTTTTTTAAAGATACAAGGATGAGGCTTTTGCTCTTATGTTCCTTATTAGAGGTGAGAGATCTATGTGTTTAATTTCTCTAATTTATTTGGCCTTATTCCAATACTCATCAAGCTTTTAAAAAAACCATTGCTTTTTTTGGGAAATGGAGCCCAGAGTGGTTACATATGGTATTTTGTTTCAGAAAAATAAAAATAAAATAAAATTGTTTAACTTCTGAACAACCATTATCTGACAAGATGATTACTGGTTTTATTTAGGGGCTGTTTAAAAAGGAAGCTATGTGTTGGGCACACAGACTAGTATTTTATTTTCATACTGATTTTCTCTGCTAAAATCCATCCAAAGCAGCTGTACAGTAATAATACCCATTCTGGTCAATGTGTTTTATAATTGAAGGGCTAAGCAATGTTATAAACAGACTCATCAAACAAAAGCAGATAAAATAAATTAACTCTTCCGTCTAGGAACTGTGGAAATTTCCCAATGTATTATATAGATAGTCCTCAATTTACCACCACAGTTGAGCCCAAAATTTCTGTTGCTAAATGAGACATTCTAAGTGGACTTTTTCCCCATTTCCTTGCCACGATTAAGTGAATCACTGCATTGGTAAATTAGCAACATGGTGATTCCCATTCACTTTGCTTGTCAGAAGGTCACAAAAGGGAATTGATCACATGATCCCAGGACATTGCAACAATCATCAATGCATGCCAGTCGAAAAGCATCTGAACGTTGATCAAATGACCATGGGGATGCTCCAATGGTCATTAAGTGTGAAAAGTGGTCATAAGTCACTTGTTTCAGTGCCGTTGTAACTTCAAACGGTCACTAAATGAATTGTTGTAAATTGAGGAGCGCCTGCATTTATTCCTTGTGCATCGAGGAGCACCTGCATTTATTCCTTATCCATTTTAGTTCGATTTTAACATGATTATTTTATCCCCCCTTTTTAAAAAAATGTTGACTTATTGAAAAATTCTACGACAGGTAGAGTCCACTTGCGGCGAGATGGAAGGCAAACTAATTTAATAAATAAATATAAATGGTTTAACAAAAACAATACAATGAACATGAAAGCAAATAAATCTCTGTCAGTCTGTACAGTCTGTACCTTTCTCCAATAATAGGTCATAATTTGCCAAACAGGTACAGGTAGTCCTTGACTTACATCAGTTTGTTTAGTGACCATTCAAAGTTACAATGGCACTGAAAAAAGTGACTTATGACCATTTTTCACACATACTGTGATGACCTGGGGCGTGGCACAAAGACAACATAGTCAAATAAGCAATGAGTCCCTTTATTATCTCAAACTTTGCCCCCAATGTCCAGGTTATCTTCCGGCTGGAGAAAAACTCTCCCAGGAACAGCCTTTGACTGCAGAAAATTCAGTCCAAAATAGGATAAACACAAACTGTAACTTAAAATCCAAACAAACCAAACTGAAGTAATTAGTTTGGCAGGGCAGGAACAAGAATTTCAGACTTGAAAACACGGCAAAACTCAAGACAGTTGGGAAGACGCCAGAACACAGATAAGCCAAAACAATACAAGATAAAGTCACATTTGCTCCCAACAGCCTGCTGCACGCAGCCTGCCTTTTTTATACACTGTGTTCCCAGCTGCAGTTAATGAAGGGAATCAGGGCCCTTTCCTCCCCCATAAGCCACGCAACCCATGCTGCTCCCTTCTCCATTCCTTCCTGTGTGCCCTAGGATGAAGAGGGGTTGGGCCTGGGTCTTCTTCTGAATTCCCTCTTCCTTGTTCTACCTCTCCCCTGCTCTGCCCAGCGAGCCTTTGCCCTTCCCCAGTTTCTTCCAAAGCCAACAGAGCCACACTTCCATTCCCTGTCAGGTGTCCAGCTTCGTCCCTGGACTCCGATAGGGGTATGACACACACAACCGCTGCAGCATCCCCATGAACATGTGATCAAAATTCAGATGCTTGGCAACTGGTTCATACTTATGACGGTTGCAGCGTCCCGGGGTCATGTGATCTGCTTTTATGACCTTTTGACCCGCAAAGTCAATCGGAGAAGCCAGATTCACTAAGCAACCAGGTTACTAACTGATCAACTGCAATGATTCACTTAACAATGGTGGCAAGGAAGGTTGTAAAATGGGGCAAAACTCGCTTAACCAATGTCTCACTTAACAACAGACATTTTGGGCTCCGTTGTGCCCAAAATACAGGACAACCTGTATTTTCTGTCTGACGAGAAACGCAGCAATTCTACATCAAATGCAGCCAGATGCTGTTTTTACATTCATGGTTGAGCCTTGCAACAATGAGAAGCTGCTAGGTAAATAAATAAATATGAATAAGAAAACCTGGGAGTGCCTTACGCGCATGGCTCTCTATGAATTTATCGTGTTCCGTTGGTCCTAATATTCTTGCAAAACGCCTCATGGACTCATAGAGATCTTGAACTTTCTTTGGGTATCTTCTTTCCAGAACTGCAAAACAAAGAAGGAAATGTATATTGAGCCAAGAATGTGATCCCGAAATCGTGTTTTCCCAGCTTTCCTGCTATGTTGAGACCAAGGCATCCAGGGGAGGGAGAGGTCAAAAAAGTCAAGATGGTGGCTGCGATTGTGTGGCTGCAGTGAGAATGCCTGAAGAAACTCTTGATTGAGACTGCAATCCCAGAATTCATAGCGCATTACATTTACAGGTAGTCTTCAACTAAAGACCAAAATTCAAGTCTAGATAGTTGTAAAGTGGATCATCAATGTGACCCCATGAAGCTGACCTGATCGAAGCCATCCTAATTGCTTCAGTGTTGCCACACTGGAGCTGAGGGACAGGAAGGGGGGATTGTAGATAGTTGGGATTCTGTAGCCAAAACAAAATATTTTCTCTTGGGAACCAAGGACATTCTCACACCTGGTCGGAAGAAGGCGGAGTAATGTCGCCCGGCTGCCAGACTGCACCGTGATTGGACCATGTGACTGATTGTTTTGGGGAAGTGAAAAACTTTTACTTTTAATTAGGTGACAAACCGTGGAAGTCTTCTGAGTCGGTTTTCATCAGTTCTGTGCAAGTATGATATTTCTAATAAAATGGGACAGAATCCACTTAACAAATTTCTCACTTAGCAAAATAAATTCTGGGCTAATCATAAGTTGAGGACTACCTGTAGTGGCAAGAAAGGTTGTAAAATGGGGAAAAACTCACTTAGCCGCTTTCTCAATTAGCAACAGAAATTTGGGGCTTAATTGTGGTCCTAAGTCGAGGATTACCTGTATTGCACATTTTAAAAAATGGACATGTTTTAACATGGGAGCTCCCAGAGACTTCACAGCTGTGTCTGCTTCAGAAATACAACAGATCTAGAGGAACAGATGTTTTCCTGCCCCAGAAGCCTCCAACTTGCCTTTCATTTCTCTCAGACATAATTACATAAACACCAGCCATAGTTAAAGGGTGAACATGGTGGCACTCGTTTGAAAGAGGGAACATGATATTAAGATCAATGACTTCGTCTAGACAATGGAGAGAAGGACCTGTACCTTGACTACCATGCTGACTGTATCAAAAGTAAGTCACACAACCCGCAACTCAGCTTTAACCTTCAACCACAACCCTACCTCAACCAATCCACCATCACCCAAGACTAGGCAGGCACGGCCCTAATTACCTCAATTCCAACTACTGATGGTCTTAAATGCAAGCTACTCAATGCAAGAAGCCTTGCGAATAAAATACCTGAATTTCTCCTCTTACTAAATATGGCTAAATTCGACATCATATTTGTCTGTGAAACATGGCTCAACACATCTCTCCCTGACTCCATTACCACAGTAAGAGACTATCATGTTTACCGATCAGATCATGAAGTTTGTAGAGGAGGTGGTGTTGCTATCTTCTATAAAATATCCTTACATCTAAAAAACATCCAAGTTACCCAGAAGCTTGCTCTTCCTGAGACCATCAGCTGTGAACTATCCTTAAATATCACATTTCGATTCTTACTATGTTACAGAGCACCTGATTATGACATCGAACATGTAAACAAGCTAAATACACTACTCCTGCCCACACGCTTTTATCTTTCTTGGTGATTTCAATCTACCTCATATTGACTGGACCCTAAATCAATGTACAACTGAACCCATACACGCAACCTTCTACAATGCTGTTACAAATCTGGGACTGGAACAACTAGTAACCAATAACACTAGACTAAACAACTGCCTCGATCGCATCTTCTGCAATAGTTTGAATTTAATTTATGGAATACAAACTAAAGGACCCTTTTCCAGTAGTGACCACAATATGATTGACTTTTGTCTGAACATACGCCCACACAAAAATCATCACAATGACGTAATCCCCAATTATAACTTCAAAAAAGGCAACTATGATCTTATAGACAACGATCTCTCATCCCTTGATCGGCAATCTCTATTCACTGGATGCAATACTGTTGAAGACCATTACAACATATTTTTACTTGAAGTCAAAAGAGTCATCAAACTATATGTACCAACAACAACTCCCAAAACAAACAAAAAGCAGATTACCCATAACAATAAGGAAACTTCAATCCAAAAAGAGATCACTCTGGCGGAAAAACAAATCTGGTCACGTTGCCAATTTCAAAAGCCGATACAAAAATTTATGCCACCAGATAAAGACTGAATGCACCAATTATCACATTAAACAGGAGGAAAACCTTCTACGCACCAATTCCACCCACGCTTTTTACAATTTTGTAAATAACAAACTAAAAGATTCAAGGTCCAGCACACCCCTGATAGGACCTAATGGTAAAGACTGCAACAACGACACCATTAAAGCCAACATCTTTAACACATTCTTCGGCTCAGTATTTGTAAACAGCAATGGATCATGCCCAGTATTTCCTAGCTGAAGCACAGACAACTACAATGATCTAATACATATCGATTTTACAGAAGACATTGTTGAAAAAGCACTACGCAATCTAAAACCATCTCTATCTATTGGACCAGGTGGAATATGTGCCTATTTCTTAAAAAAGCTATCCACTGCCATAGCCGAACCTCTAAGCATAATCTTTGAAAAATCTTTCAGGACCAGCTCCTTGCCTAACCTATGGTCACAAGCCACAGTCATCCCCATCTTCAAAAAGGGAGACCCCAGCCTAGTTGAAAATTACAGACCAATGTCCTTATGCTGCGTCACCTGTAAAGTCATGGAATCAATTATTAACTAATCCATTATCCTCCACTTAGAGACAAACAACCTACTCTCTAATAAACAATTTGGTTTCAGGAAAAAACTATCCTGTAATCTGCAACTCTTACACTGCAAAAACATATAGACTACACAACTTGATCAGGGCAAAGCAATAGATGCAATCTACATAGATTTCTGTAAAGCCTTTGATTCAGTGGTACACAACAAACTACTCCTAAAACCAAAATCTTATGGTATCTCTGGACAACTGCATAACTGGATAGAAGCATTCCTGTCAAACAGACAACGGATGGTCAAAATTGGGAGTGTCCTATCAAATTCTGTACCTGTCATTAGTGGTGTCCCAAGGCAGTGTTCTAGGACCAACTCTCTTCATACTCTACATAAATGACCTCTGTGATCATATTAAGAGCAACTGCGTTCTTTTCGCTGATGATGTAAAGCTGTTCAATACCACAGACAATACTTCAACCTTTCTAAAAGATCTTGACTATGTATCAGAATGGTCAAAAAAATGGCAACTTCAAATCTCAACAAATAAATGCTCTGTCTTACATATTGGCAAAAAAATCAGAAAATAAAATACAAGCTGAATAGTCAAGGTCTTGTTGATGATCCAAGCTCTGTAAAGGACCTTGGAATACTCATCTCTAATGATCTAAGTGCTAGAACCCACTGTAACTACTTAGCCAAAAAGGCATTAAGAGTTGTTAACCTAATCCTATGTAGCTTTTTCTCTGGTAATATTACACTACTAACTAGAGCATACAAAACATTGGCTAGACCAATACTTGAATACAGCTCATCAGTCTGGAACCCACATTACATATCTGATATTAGCACAGTTGAGAAAGTCCAGAAATATTTCACAAGAAGAGTTCTCCACTCCTCTACTAGTTGTAGAATACCTTATGCCACCAGACTTGAAATTCTAGACCTAGAAAATCTAAACTATGCCACCTTCAGTCCGATCTAAGTATGGTATATAAAATCATACATTGCAATGTCCTATCTGTCAATGAATACTTCAGCTTCAATCATAACAATACAAGAGCACACAATAGATACAAACTCAAGGTTAACCACACCAAACTTGATTGCAGGAAATACGACTTCAGCAACAGAGTGGTCAATGTCTGGAATACTCTACCTGACTCTGAAATTTCTTCCCCAAACCCCAAAAACTTTAACCTTAGACTGTCTACTATCGACCTCACCCCTTTCCTAATAGGTCTGTAGGGGGCGTGCATAAGCGCACCAATGTGCCTATTGTCCCTGTCCTATTGTTTCTTTTATTTTTCTTATATGTACCCATTTCATGTATTCATAACTATGTATATACTTATACCTATTATCTTGTAAGCAATTGACAAATCAAATAAATAAATAAAATAAGTACTTACTCTGAAACTTTCTGAGATTGATGAGTCCATGGTCTTTTATGATTCTGTAAGGTAAAAGGTGCTTATTAGTGGTCTTTCTAATCACGAACAAGAGCCAGCAGCAAAAAAAACCCACCAACAATAACACCCTTCTGAGGAACTGGCATCGTGTTTCCCTTCGAAAAGGCTGGACAAACACTTGGTAAGATTCATTGGAACAGGCAGAAATGTTTCCTTCTGGGCGGAGTGAACTACTCGTTTAGCAGAAGGACAAGCTAGGGACCTGAGGTTGGAAGGAAAATTTCATTTTTAATACCTTAACCAGGTATGTGTGTGTTGTGTGTGTGTAAAAAAGATGCTGAGGGAGTAATAAGAATCTCACTCTGTTGTTTGAAGTTTCCAGGTCCAAGGACCTGTGCAAAATAGCGCGCGCGCGCGCGCACACACACACACAAAACACACCCCATTCCACAACTCCATAAAAGTTACCTCTTCAAGTCCCTAAAGTGAACACCAAATGACCATCTTGCAGTGACACGGTGTAAAGGGTTTGAATGCAGCGGATAAAATCTGCAAGTAAATTACCTCCCAATAGATTCCTGTCACTGTAGGTGTAACAGCTGCCTTAACACTGTCTCAGATTTGCATGAAAAAGCATTAAAACAAGTTTCCATATGTAGTTGGGAAAATGTCTGGCATGGAGCACTGGGCAGAAAAGATTGGGAGGGAGGGGGGCTTGCGATTTCCAGTTGATCAAGTCGACTATATTTACCTCCAGTTTCTATTCTTCATTTTGGAGTTAATTCTATAAAGATACTAGGATTAACTGCAATGATTTACCTAAGAGGCGGGGAATGATGGCTCCTTTATGACTTGTGGACTTCAATTCCCAGAATTCCTGAGCCAGCTAGGCTGGCTGGGGAATTCTGGGAGTTGAAGTCCAGCCACCTTCAAGTGGTCACGGTTGAGAAAGGCTGGTCTACAGCGGTATTTTCCAAGCTCAGCAACTTTAAGCTTCAAGCTCCCCATGCAGGCTGGGGAATTCTGGGAATTGAAGTCCACACATATTAAAACTGCCAAATCCGAGAAACCCTGATCTAGCCAGTTCAAGATGCCCTCCACTTACAGCAGTTCATTTAGTGACCGTTCGAAGAATAGCACTGAAAAAAGTGACTTATGACCATTTTTCACACTTACAACATTTGCAGCATCCCCACGGTCATGTGAAGAAAATCCAGATGCTTAGCAACTGGTTCATATTGATGATGATTTCAGTGCCTCGGGGTCTCCTGACCCCCTTTTGTGACCTTCTGACAAGCAAAGTCAATGGGGAAGCCAGATTCACTTAACAACTGTGTGACTAACTTAACAACTGGGGCAAGAAAGCTTCTAAAATGGGGGCAAAACTCATCTAACAAATGTCTCACTTAGCATCATGAACTTTGGGCTCAATTGTGGTCGTAAATCGAGGACTACCTGTAGCTAGCTATGCACAGCCTATCTGTTTAATGAACATTGGTATCTGTGACTTGCTACTCCCACTGAGCGGAATGCCAGTTACTCAGACAATGCAGGTAGTCCTTGACGTTGAGCATTTCTAGAATGGAGCATTCTACTAGCAATAGCAACAGCACGTAAGATTTATATACAGCTTCAATGTGCAGAATCAATGGGGAAGCCAGATTAACTGCAGTGATTCACTTAACAACAGTGGCAAAAAGGTTGTAAAAGGGGGCAAAACTCATTTAACAACTGCCTTGCTCAACAGAGGAAATTTTGGGCTCCATTGTGGCCGTAAGAACCTCGGTGGCATAGTGGTTAAAATGCAGTACTCCAGGCTACTCTGACGGCTGCCTGCAATTTGGCAGTTTGAATCTCACCAGGCTCAAGGTGGACTCAGCCTTCCATCCTTCCAAGGTGGGTAAAATGAGGACCCAGATTGCTGGGGGCAATATGCTGACTCTGAAAACCACTTAGAGAGGGCTGTAAAGCACTATAAAATGGTATATAAGTCTAAGCGCTACTGCTATTGCTATAAGTTGAGTACTATCCATACATGTATCACTGGAGCAATTAACAAAATTGGACTGTGTTGTATCACATTTATCCCTTTTCAAATCCTAGTAGAGAACTGCAATTAAGCTCCAAGGAACTTTTTAAACAGTGGTGAAAGAATGGGGTGGGATGGGGTAGGAGATTGCCAAAAACTCACTTTTTCCGTCTTTGCCTTTCCTTTAACCGAGAGTGATAGATATCTACGACTGCAATCTTCAAAGCTGTGAAAAGTTCAAGGGGGAAGTGGAAGAGAGACGAAAAGAATAAAAATCCTTCATGCGGGAAATGCGTAGCAGCGATGGGGCGAAGCAGGATTACAAAACTGATCTCCCATATCATCACAGCAGTTGCCTGTTTTCTTGATAGTGAAGAACTCAAGAACTAGCAAAACAAGGTGACCTGAATCCCGCTTTGAAAACCATCTCTTCCAAAGCATGGACATCTTGTGAGACTTGGTGTCTACCAAGGTTCTTGTAGGTCCTTGGTGCTCTCTGAGCTTGGCTGTTTTCTTGCAGACATTTCATGACCCAACTAGGTATCGCCATCAGGACTGTTGATGTTACCTAGTTGGGTCATGAAACGTCTGCAAGAAAACAACCAAGCTCAGAGAGCACTAAAGGAGCTCACAGTTCAACCCTGAGCTATAAATATTCTCTTCTATTGAGACTGTCGATCACTGGGCCACCAGAGACCGCCTACTATGGATCCCACTGGTCAAAGAGGAAGAACGTTCTCTGCTGCGGCACTGCCCTTTGGAACAGGATCAGATCTGCCCCCAACCTCCTACCCTAAAGACCTGGCTTTGCAAATTGGTCTGGGGGACCCAATGGGGAAGTTTGACACTGGTGGTGGCTGCTCAGTTGGCAGCAGGCTCCACCTTTCCTGCCCCCCCCCCCATGCTCCCCGGCTCTCTGCTCCTCAGTTGCCCATCTCTTTTTTACTAGTCATAAGGGAGGAAATAATGGGGACCCCCCCCCCTTCTAGCACAGTAAAATTGGGAGAGGCTGAGATGGGTTCAATATTGACATTAATTGCCTGATGCAAATATAAAGGAAAACTTGCAATAAAGCATGTGCATTTGATGAAATGGTAGCTGACATGGACACCGTAGTTCCCTATATGCCAAAATAAGGGGGGGGGGGCTGAGGCTGTGGGAAAAGAGGACGTGTGCGCTTAAAGTACACATAAAAATAATCACGTTATAACGTTGAGGTTAAAGGAATGAAAAACTGCCTCTGTTGCCACGTCATGTGCTTTGCGGTTTTAAGGTATATAATGAAATGTTGAATAAAGGGAGGTTCCCAATCGGCCGCAAGCCGTCCCTTTTGACTGCTTGTCCGGTTGACCCTCACTGCGATGTGATGTAAGTGCCTTAATATTGGCTTTATGTTTGCTGTGCTTCAAATTCTAATAAACCTCTGAATCCTAAAGTGAGGCTTTAGGTGTGGTGTGCTGTCTGTTCAATTGTTATTAAGTGCAGCTATGCTCATAATTAGGTTTTTCCCCTGACAGATTGATGTTATTTTGTTTTCTTTTTCCCTTGTTTGTTTTATTGTTCTGTTATTTTACTTTCACTTTGTTTAAACGTCCTTTTTGTTCTCTGTGTTGAGGTAATGAAGATTTAATAGCTGACCAGATGTAAGGTGAGATGATGAACTGAGGATGAGTCAGCAGGGTACTGCCGCTTTAAGAAGCTATCTATATAAGGAAGGCCATGTGAGGGCTGTGAGGGTGTCTCTCTCTCTCTATCTCTCCTTGTGTTCTATCTCCATTGTAGTTCTCCGTGCAGAGTAACAAAGATTGATTGTTTGCTTGGTATGTGCCTAACATGTATATGTAAGTATACAGCTGTCTTGGACATAAACCACTGTTAAAAGACAAAGCCTCTGTGTGCTGTATTGTGTTCCTGGGTTGTGCCACTTTGTTGACACTTTGTTTTTTTAAATTATTATGGACCACCTAGAGTAGCTGGATGGTGAGATAGACAGCCAATAAATGTAATAATAATAATACAGGTAGTCTTCAACTTACAACCGTTCATTTAGTCACCATGCAAAGTTACAATGGCACTGAAAAAAAAGTGATGATTTCAGGCTTACAACCATTGCAGCATCCCCATGGTCACATGATCAAAATTCAGATGCTTGGCAACTGACTCATATTTATGATGGTTGCAGTGTCCTGGGGCCATGTGATCACTTTTTACAACTTTCTGACAAAGGAAGTCAATGGGAAAGCCGGATTCACTTAACTACCGTGTGGTTAATTTAACAGCTGCAGGGATTCACTTAACAAATGTGGCAAGAAAAGTCATAAAATGGGACGAAATTCATGTAACAAATGTTTAGCTTAGGAACAGAAATATTGCGCACAGTTGTGGTCATAAGTAGAGGACTACCTGTGATACCATATGTGCTTATGGTTGGGAGCAACCAGTGAGGGATGGTCTTCAGTTGTGACTGCCATATGCTCATGAACAGCAGAATCCCATAGACATTCTGACATAGCCTTGTTGTTCATTTTAGCTCTCTATATAACCAAGTTCCACATTAAAGTTTGCTTTTTATATGCAGTGAGACTTTTCTCTATCAAGCTTCTACTTGTTGTGACAGTTGCAAGGATGCGAGGCTGGGTTTTTTTAATTAGAAACTGTGATTTTTATGCTCTATGAGATGAGTTTAATAATGTAATTATGCTACGAGCTGTTTTGGGAGTGCCTACTTTGAAATATAAATAAATCATACTGATTTAAAACAATCCCCTGTAGTGTAAGGATTTTAATGTGCTGTGGGAAACATATGTGAAAATGTCCTAAAATTGTTATTTTTTTAAAAAAAACCTAAAGCGAAATATGTATTTTCAGATAATAATTGAGGGACAAAACCCAAGGTTTTTGTGTTTTTATCATTACACTGCCCAGAGTCACTTGTTGAGTTGGGTGTTTATAGAAATCCAATCAATCCATCAAGCATACTTTAAGGATGGCTGTTTCTGAGGATTTCAATATTATTGGATATCAGATGATAACTCTAGCTGAATCTCTCTGGGTTTGGAACTAAACACAGTTCAACCCGTAAATATTTGTTGGGACATTACCAAGAAACTCTAGAGTTGTAATTAGACCGGCACTGATTATGTTACCTAGTTTGGTGATGAAATGTCTACAAGAAAATAACCAAGCTCAGAGAGCACCCCACTGTAATTAGGAGACAGTTTTAAAAAAAAATCCTGGAAATAATTACTTGGCAACTATTGTACTTCTGTTGCCAAAAAAGCCTATGTGGACATGTTCATGAAGCCAATAGGAATCAAGAAAAATGACTACAGGGGATTTTATTCCTTAAGAAGTGGAGAAAAGAGATGTTCAGGTTTTCAACCATGGAAGCAAAACTCACCATGTAAAAGATCTGAGTCATCCTCCACGAAATCTATATCTCTTAAATCCCATTCAGCATAATTGTCAAACTCCTATGGAAAACAGATAAACAAAGACAAATGGTTCCCGGTTAGCTCTAAATAACTTTAAATAAATATAATTCATAGAGCTGGAAGGCAGACAAATAATTGAGTGTGGTGAGGTTCACAAATATGCTTACTCGTGCTTTACCAAGGCTGACTAAAGACCGAACCTGATTTTTCTGAATACGTACGTACAACTCAATAAACATTCATTAGACCAGCTGGATTCACAAAATATATTCAAGTAACATTTGGCATGCTAATTTGTGGGGAAGAGCACTGTGTGCACTTATTTATCAATTGATTTATTCAATTTCTATGGCTGCCCAACTCAACCAAGGGACCCTGGGCAGCTTGCAAATGTAAAATTTTAAAGCAATTTAAAAGACATGAAAACAATACAAACATCCATATGGTAAATATATATAAATGTAAAACAGCAGCCATGATGATTACACCACTAATAGTGAAGCCAAGTAACGGGGCCCTTCATATATTCTGAACCCCAGGTCTGAGTTCATAGCCAAGTTTTTAAAGCTTTGCAACAGGCCAAGAAGATTGGGGCCATTCCTATCTCTGCAGGGAGGATGGGGTGGGGTGTGATGGAATGGAATGGACTAGAATGTAGAATAGAATAACAGAGTTGGAAGGGACCTGGTAGATTACCCTATACCAGGGGTGTCAAACTCAAGGCCTGTGGGCCGGATGTGTCACGTGCTGGCCCCGCCCTCACCCGGTTTAGTGAAGGGAGAAAAAGTCCTGATACGACATGTGACGACGACATGGTAACGTGAGCTTGACACCCCTGCCCTATACCATTCTTGACAGATGGCAGTCTAGCCTCTTTTTGAAAGCTTCTAGTGATAAAGCTCTCACTTCCAAAGGTAGCTTCTGTTCCATGGGTTGATTGTTCTCATTGTCAGAAAATTTCTCCTTATTTCCAGGTTGGATCGCTCCTTGTTCAGTTTCCATCCATTATTCCCTGTCTGGCCTTCAGGTGCTTTGGATAATAGCTTGACCCCTTCCTCAAATATTGGAAGACTGCTATCTCCCCTGGTCCTTCTCTTTACTAGCCTAGCCAAGCCCAGTTCCTGCAACTATTCTTCGTATGTTTTAGCTTCCAGTCCCCTAATCATCCTGGTTGCTCTTCTCTCTACTTTTTCTAGTCTCAACATCTTTTTTTATAGTGTGGTGACCAAAACTGGATGCAGTACTCTAGGTGTGGTCTTACTAAGGTTTTATAGAGGGGTAATAGTACCTCACTTGATCTTGACTGAATTCCTCTGTTAATGTAATTTAGGATTGCATTGGATATTCCATAAAGTTTTGGCTACAGCAAAAAAAAGCCCTTTTTCTAATTCCCACCAGTCAGCAGTCTTCTGAGCACATTTGAGTCCAACATTTCTTTTGCTAAGCAATTTGGCTAAGTTAGGCAAGTTTTGTCACCTGCAGTTGTTAAATGAATCATGTGGTTGTTTAACGAATCTGGCTTTCCCCACTGACTCTGCTTGTTGGAAGGTTATTTAACGGTGACTATATATGACCCTGGGACAGTGCCACTCTCATAAATACCAGTTGCCAAGCACCTGAATTTTGATCACGTGACCATGGGGATGCTGCAAATGTCTTAAGCGTGAAAAGCGGCCATAAGTCATTTTTTTCAATGTCACTGTAACTTTAAATGGTCACTAAGTGAATGGTTGTAAGTCAAGGATTACCTGTACACACTTTTGCATTTGATTGTAACCATGTTTGCATTATTGCTCTTGTTTGACTTGGAAGAGAGCTGCTCTTTTTTAACCTGCTGAAGATTTATCTTCACCACATAATGGTTAATTGTGATTATCACTATGTTACTTATGAAATCTTTTTACCATGTTTCTTTAAATTTAAATTAGTGATGGGGCAAGTCCCTTTTTGGCTCTTACTCTCCATGGTTAAATTTTTATTTTGGATTATTTTAATTTTCAGCTTGCTGTTACAGGTGGTTTGCAACTCTCTACAGAGTTTTATAGGTTTTTGTGGAATCATTTTTAATATTTGGGATTATTGTACCGTTTTATTCCGATTGTAATCTGCCCTGAGGGCTCCTGAAGCAGAATGTTGGGCTGTACATTTCCAAATAAATAAACATTATAAGAGCAGACGAATGTAATAAAATTAGTAGAAAAAGTAAATGGGCTCTAAATTGGCCTTTAATCTTTTACTATGAGAAAGACTTTCCCTTCCCGTTTATTAATTAGGATCAGGTTATTAAAGGTAAAAAAAGTATTTATTGTTTATTCAACCTTAAGCACAATGAAATGTTAAGTCTGGTGAAGAGAGCTGAATCCATACAAATTAATTTATCATTTCAGGGCATCACAGTAGCAAAAAGTTGAATAGAGGTAGTCCTCAATTTACAAACATTGATTTAATGATGGTTGGAAGTTACAACAGTCTCAGAAAAAATGATGGCCCCCTCCTCAAAGTTACAACCATTAACCACCTCCATAGTTATACAATCACAATTTGAGCGCTTGGCAACTAAATGAATGGTTGTAAGTTGAGAACCAATGTACTTTGTAGAAAGGACCATAAGTTGTTGATTTTCTCTTATTCATTGAAAAAGATAAGATAGTCCTTGACTTACAACAGTTCACTTATAGACCATTTGAAGTTACAACAGCACTGAAAAAGTGACTTATGACAATTTTTCACACTTATGAACGTTGCAGCATCTTACATGATTTATATTTGGATGCTTGGCAACCGACTCACATTTATGATGGTTGCAGTGTCCCAGGGTCATGTGATTCCCTTTTGTGACCTTCTGATAAGCAGAGTCAATGGGGAAACCAGATTCACTTAACAACCGTTAGTAATTTAACAACTGCAGTGATTAATTTAACAAATAAACAAGAAAAGTCATACAATGGGACAAAACTCACTTAATAAATTTCTCACTTAACAACATAAATTTTGGGCTCAGTTTGGTTGTAAGTTGAGGACTGCCTTTAATATCCTTCAGCAGAAATTCAAGATAGTTCACACAAGTAAACAAGATTATGATCTATGACCAGAAATAAAAAATAACCCAGAAATACACCATTCAGCCTTCGATCAATTGGCAACAGTTGGTTGATGATCTGAAACATTTGTACAATATTATAACAACAATCAACATTTTTCATGGAGAAAGCACAAAATAATTAGATGAAATTGCCAGGTTTCATCAGATAGTTCCAGAATCTAAAACAAATTTGCCAAATATAAAAGTGGCATCAGCATTAGTGGAAAAATAATGAAATTCTCACCATGGAGGAATGGACCGTGAAAATGTCAGAATTGCAGAAATGGCAAAATTGACCTGTTTGGTCAGAGAACAAAGCACCATTTTTTTTAAGACTTGGGATTTTTTTTAATATTCCACTTTTATTATTTTTATAAATAACCCAAGGCAGCAAAAATATCTAACACTCCTTCCCCCTCTTATTTTCCCCACAACAGCAATCTTGTGAGGTGAGTTGGGCTGACTGGGAGGGACTGGCCCAAAGTCACCCAGCTGGTTTTCATGCCTAAGGCGGGACGAGAACTCATAGTCTCCTGGTGATTGGTCCAAAGTCACTCAGCTGGTTTTCATGCCTAAGGCAGGACTAGAACTCATAGTCTCCTGGTGATTTGTCCAAAGTCACTCAGCCAGTTTTCATGGCTAAGGCGGGACGAGAACTCATAGTATCCCAGTTTATAACCACTAAACTGGCTCTTTTTATTTAAACAGTGGAAAAGTATTATACAGATAGTCCTCAACTTACAACCACAATGGAGCCCAAAATTTATGTTCTTAAGCGAGACATTTGTTAGGTGAGTTTTGTCCCATTTTACAACCTTGCTTGCCATAGTTGTTAAGTGAATCACTGCAGGCCATAAGTTAGTAGCCCAGTTATGAACTGAATCTGGCTTCCCCGTTGACTTTGCTGGTGAGAAGGTCACAAAAGGGGATCACATGACCTTGAGACACAGCAATGGTCATAAATATGAACCAGTTGCCAGGCCTCTCAATTTTGATCCCATGATCGTGGGGATGCGGCAAAGGTCATAACTGTGACAAATGGTCATGCATCACATTGCTCAGTGCCACTGCAACTTCGAACCGTCACTAAAGGAACTGCTGTAAGTCAAAGTCTACCTGTGCATGGAATTGGTTTATCCTAGTGACCTATAGCTTGTCGAAAGAAAAGCAGAGGATGAGGAATCTAATGCGGCCATATATTTCAGTTGAGTGACTGCAGTGTGTTGCTCGCGGCAATGGTATTGCGGTTCGCCAGCAGCCTGGGCAGACGGCAGCAGAATCGGACAGTGGGGAAGAACACGGGCCAGTCTGGGAGCCTGGAGAGGACTAGGACGAGGATCCTACATCCAATGCAGAGATGGGGCCAGGGCCATCTGGGAGTGGGGTGCTGCCTTCAGAGCCTCTGAGTCTGGCAGCAGCGAGGCTGAGGAACAAGGGGAGCCTGTTCCCTGTACGTGTGTGTGCAGAGCTGCTAGAAGGCAAGAGCAGCTGAGACAAAAGGGGTGACTTGGGAGTAAGGCTTGGAGGTGATTGCCCCTCCCATAAGGTATAAAGGACAGGCAAAGGTGAAGAAATCTTTGCAGGAAGCAAAGTCATTCATTCTCTTCAGATTAAACCTTGAAGCGGTGTGTGGACTTTGTACTTCAGTTGGGTTTTTTTATAGTTCATTTGGCACTCTAGTTGTTGGCAGCAATTCAAAGGAAAGAAAGGTGGGTGCTTATCTCGAAGGGACTGTTTGGGACTCATTACCGGCTGGGAATGAAAATGATTCCCACGTGGAAATAAAATAAGAGTTGTTTTAACTAAGCGTGTGCTTAATTACAGTCTCGGGAAGCCTTGGTCAGAACAAATGGTTCCTGGTCCATTCAAGTAAGCATCCAGGATATATTTATTCATAGCGGTCTTCCAATATTTGAGGGGCTGCCACAGAGGGGAAGGGGTCAAGCTATTTTCTAAAGCACCTGTAGGCCAGACAAGGAATAATGGATGGAAACTGAACAAGGAGAGATTTAACCTGGAAACAAGGAGAAACTTTCTAACAGTGAGAACAATCAACCAATGGAACAGCTTGGCCTCGGAAGTTGTGGGAACGCCATCACTTGAGACTTTCAAGAAGAGATTGGACTGCTATTTGTCAGAAATGGTCTAGGGTCTCCCGCTTGGGCGGGGGGTTGGACTAGATGACCTACAAGGTCCCTTCCAACTCTGATTATCTGTAAATCTTTAATCATAATACAGTTATTTTATATAAAGTCACAGAAATACAGACACAGACATAAATTAAAAATAACTAAAACGGTAGTCAGCTTGGAGACATTCTTACCTCAATGAAATCAGCCCTGGCTGGCATGTATCCTGCCATATCTCTAGAAAGAAGGGAATCAAAAGTAGGTCGGGGAGGATCTTCAGTTGCTAAAAAAATAAAAATAAAATGCATGGTCACAATGTCCAAAGCTTACTAGGGGTTCAGCAACTTTAAGATGTGCGGACTTCAATTCCCATGCTGGCTGCGGAATTCTGGTGGTTGAAGTTTGCACATCTTAAAGTTGCCAAGTTGAGAAGCACAAACTGACTTTTTAAACAACGAAAAATTATTTTGTTTACTGTATGCCATTAATTCCTATAATTTACTTCCAGTTTCAATATCTGTAGTTGCCCCCCTGCAAGCAACTCAGCTTGCAGTTAAAAGCCAACAATATAATCAAGTAAATGACAGTAGTAAAAACAGGGAGGAGGAACCCCAACGATTAGACAGACAAAGCAATTTGTAGCTGGTTCACAGAGTAGCCCAGCTTGGTGATTGTATCAAGAACCAGATCTTTAAAGGTCTCAGGAGACAAAGCAGAGTCAGGCCACACGGCCTTGAGGGAATTCTACTCCAGAGAAAGCACGTTATCTCCTAGGTCCCATGATATTTTTTAATAGATAGGACCCAAAGCATGCCAAAAATCTACCAAACCCTATAGGATGGAGAGAGGTTGCTATCTGGAGAGGCAGTGTAGGAAATATCCAGTCCATGTGTCATATAGGGCTTTATAAATTTGCAGCCAGAATTTTCAGTTATATTCAGGAGCCTAGTGGTTACACCTATAGCTGAATAAGAGAGATGTGACATGGGCATACTGCAAACTGACCATCGCTATTTGCACTGTGGCATTTTGGACCAGCTGTAGCTTCTGAGTGGTGTTGAAGGCAGCCCAATGAACCTTCCTTCTGCAATTCTCCCTGTATGTTGCACTGAGTTATAGGTAGTCCTTGACTTACAACCAGCTGCTTAGTGACTGTTTGGAGTTACAATACACACACACCCCTTACTGGTTCTGACATTCCAGTGGCCGGGCAGCGCATCTTGCAGCGCATTCGCTTTGTGTTTTACGATGTTTTTGTCAAAAAAACAGCATTTACTTCCACTTTTCAGCAAAAATGGTCCACAGCAAACAATGCTGTCAACCCTGAAGTGAACCTGGCTGAAGCCATCTTGGAGGCTTCAGGGTTGCCACACAACAGAGGGAGGGTGGAAATAGTTACATGGGGTTTTGTAGCCAAAACAACAAAGTTTTCCTTTGGGAACCAAGGACATTCTCACAGGTGGCTGGCTAGAGGAGGAGCCGGTAACCCAGCAACCAGCCAGCACCTGGATTGGACAGCGTGACCAGTGACTTGGGAGAAAGGAGAAACTTTTACTTTTTAATTAGGTGAAAGCCGCAGGAGCTTTCAGAGTCGGCTTACTTGGAACACTGACAAATGGGTTTGCTTTACAACCCCAAGGTTTGCTTTATGACCATGGAATTTGCTTTACGACCAGGGCATTCCTTTAACGACCATTGGAAAAAACATAGTAAAAACAGATCTGGTCATATGGCGGTAATTTTTACGACCATCATGACAGGCTCCATTATGCATGGGTGGGATCAAAAATCCCAGTAACCGGTTTGCTGCCTGGTTGCTGGGTGGGCGTGGCCTACCAGAACTTCCTGTTTCTGGCTTCCGGTGGGCCTCCAGGGCCCAGGGGAGGCCGTTTTCGCCTTCCCAAGGGTCCAGAGGCTTCCCATTTCCAAACTTCCAAGAGGGCCGTTTTTCCCCCCTCCCGGAGCCTCCACGCAGACCCTGCACTTATCTCCACCGAAAATGGATTGCGTGGAGACTCCTGGGAGGGGAGGGGTGGGTGGGGCTAGCCGGTTGGTTGAAATACCGGTTCAGAGAACCAGATGTAACTTTAACATCTGGTTCGCCTGAACTGGTAGAATCCCACCCGTGCCATTATGGTCCAAGTCTAAGGCTGGCACCAGTTAAGCCTTTAACACCCCAAATTCCAACAAGCCTGTGTGAATTCGGGCAGTGTTCATTTCAAAATACCTTTAAAAAGAAACCCCAGGTTAGGGAAGTTGGTATTTAATACAGCAGTGGTTCTCTTTTCTTCGCCATGGACCCCCTTTAAATACCTTTTGTGGCCATGGGCCACCAAGATTTAACTCAAGATTTAAATCAAAACATTTCTTCAAGCTTTTGTGGGGGTGGCCCTGTGATGACCTTGCAGCCTCCCAGGTATGCAGGGGCCACAGATTGAGAACCACGGTGAGACAAATTTACCTCAAATAAACTCGTTGCTGTCTTGAAAGCCTGAAGAAGAACGGGGAATCTGTTCATCTTTCTTTGCGGCTGGCACTTACCGTAAAACGGAATGGCTAAGCTGGTTTGCTGCTTCTCCCCTGCCTGCTTCAGATGTAATAAGGAGGATGCAAAAAGGGGGTTATTGATGAAATGTTTCATGTAATGCTTTTCACACTCTTCTTTCGTCTTTGTGCTCATCTGATTGGCGACATCTTGCCTGTAAGGGGCCAAGAAATAAGACCAGTAATGTGCCTGGCTCATAAAATCTGTGATAACTATAATGGTAAAGGTTCCTCTTGCACGTATGTGCTAGTCGTTTCTGGCTCTAGGGGGTGGTGCTCATTTCCATTAGAAAGACAAAGAGCCAGCGCTGTCCAAAGACGTCTCCATGGTCATGTGGCTAGCATGACTAAATGCTGAAGGCGCATGGAACGCTGTTACCTTCCCACTGAAGTGGTCCTTAACTGTTCCCTTCTCCTGGCAGCTCTGCGCATGTGCAGGCTCCAGCTGTTCTTCTTCCCCACTTATCTCCGACTCCGAAGGCAGCTGATAAATGTCGGACAGCTCTGGCCCCATATCTGCCTCCGATGCAAAGCCCTCATCAGAGCCCTCCCCAGACTCCAGGACTGGCTGATGTTCCTTCCCAACCTCCTCACTGTCCGATTCCACAACAATAGTCACTAAACCAAGGGTTGTAAGTCAAGGATTACCTGCAATACCTTTGCCTTCTCTCTTTCCCCTGGTCCCATTCTAATGGTTCAGATAGTCCTCGACTTAGCGGCCATTCAAAGTTATGACTTACCTGGAAAAAGGGAGTTACAACCCAGTTCCGAAGTTTTGACGGTCAGCCCCCCACCTCCTGCAGTCACATGACTGCATTTTGGGCACTCGGCCTCATTTACAGCCATTTGCAGCATCCTGGGATCACATGACTGCATTTTAAGAGTGTTTTGCTGAAAATTCTTATGTTCGGTTTTTGGCAAAACTGTGCCAGAGCAACAGGGTTTACTTCAGGGGTGGGTTTCTACCGGTTCTGTCTACCTCTGTAGAAAAAGTTGCTCCGAAGAGCAACAGTCATAGAACCGGTTCTATGTCTGCTGCTGTTTTGGCCCACCCGCCTGCCTGGGCTCTTACCTGACCTTTATTTCCTGCATTTTCAACCACAGCTGCTTTGCACGACACAGCTGCGGTTGAAAAAGCAGGAAAAAAGTGCTTTTTCAACCGCTGCGCACTTGCACACAGCACTGCTCAGCTGTCCCGGCAACTCAGCAGGTTGTAAATTGCACTCGCGCAACGCTAGTAGACAGAACCGGTAGTTATACCAGTCGGATCCCACCGCTGGTTTACTTGATATCCAAGGGCATTCATTTAATGACCTTTGCAAAAAAGCTGACTTTCAACTGTTCTCACGTGCAACTGTGATAGCCCCATTATGGTCATATGTCAAGGACTTCCTGTATATTCCCACTGATATCTGGAAGATTTCCCCCAACTGGTTAATCCTCAGCAACTCTCACCAATTTCCAAAGCCACAGTCCATCACTGCTTCCAGAAGAGCCATTTCTTCTTGAGCGGTCCAGGTAGGATCGAGGACGGGGAAATTAGAGGTCTGCAGTGGGAAGCACATATCAAAAAAAAATAAAAAAAATCACTTGGGACTGCAATTGTGTAGGCTGATGAATTCCCATGACCCCCCCTCCTTTCCTGGAGGAAATTTTATTTGCATTCACACTAAACATGTGGGTCAAGTCCCAAAGATGCTTTTTCAAGAGGCAACTGGGCTTTCTGATTTTTCTTTGAAGATGTTTCGCTTCTCATCCAAGAAGCTTCTTTAGCTCAGAGTACATACATGTGTACATACACATAGAAAGAGAGAACAGAATAGAATAGAATAGAATAGAATAGAGGAGAGGAGAGGAGAGGAGAGGAGAGGAGAGGAGAGGAGAGGAGAAGAGAAGAGAAGAGAAGAGAAGAGAAGAGAAGAGAAGAGAAGA